CCTGCTTTTTCTATGTATATATATATATATATATATATATATACACAAATATAAATAAAATAGATATTTCAATAAAGATGCAAAACCCCCACAGTCCAGCCCTCCCCAGAGCACAACCACTCGCCTCCTACCCAGGACATTTTGCCAAGCAGAACGTTCTGTTCTCTCCTGGAATCGTCACTTCCCTCCCCAAATTTCTGTGCAACATCTCAGGTGGAGGAATAATTTATAAGCCCCCTGCAGAAAAAAAAAAAAAGCAGCAAAGCTGTGCAGCTGCTCCCAGTTTGCAAAACTCGGGGACTGGAGGGGGATTTCACTGCAGAAAAAATCAGGTTTGCCCAGAATTTAACACACACAGAGAGAGAGAGAGGGGCAAAAAACAGCCCGGCCAGAGCTGCAGGAAGCAAAACCTGGGCGCTGATAAAGGGACCTGCCACCAGTGGGGATGTTAAACTTCGCTTTTTTCCAGCTAGAGAACACGAGCCTTTGTGTGTGTTTGGTTTTTCCTTCATTAACTCTGCCCCGGGTGCACGTTGAGGGGGATTTTTTGGGAGGCGTCCCAACAAAAGTTGGTTTGTTTTTTTGGTTTTTTAGTCTTTTTTTGTCCCTCCCTGCGCTGTCCTGACATCTCCGGGGGTCGGGTGTTTGCAGAGAGGGGGAATTCCACGCATGGTGACAGAGTGGATGCTCCAAGAGCACAGAACACGCAAACACTGCCAAGGCAATGCTTCCCCCCCCCTCGTGTTCCCAAACACATCATAAATCCCGGCCGGGTTTCCGTGCGGGATCCCCTCCTGGCGTGGAGGCAAAGAGGGCTTTGGGTAAATAAAACTTACTGGGATCACCGGGCACCCCATTAATTCAGGGACACTCTGCCCCGGCTTCAAAGGGGCTCCTTGGCAGCCAGGGGGGTGTTTTTGCTGCTCTAACGATTTGCTGCTTGTACTTGTCATAACTACACGGCCCCAAAATGTGGAGCAGGGAGGGGTCGGGGAAGTGCCCGGTTCCGCCTCCCAGCACAGCCCTGGGAGCTTCAGCTCCACGGATTTGGGGCTTTAGGGAGGAAAAACGACTCCATAAATCTCCCCTTGGGGCCTTTGTGCGATGCCAGGTCATGGAGGGAGCTCCACACCCTCCCCAGGTACCGACACACCCCGGGCACTGCTCCAGCTCCAACCCCAGCACAGCCCTGGGAGCTTCAGCTCCACGGATTTGAGGCTTTAGGGAGGAAAAACGACTCCATAAATCTCCCCTTGGGGCCTTTGTGCGATGCCAGGTCATGGAGGGAGCTCCACACCCTCCCCAGGTACCGACACACCTCCAGCTCCAACCCCAGCACAGCCCCAAGGACTCACCATCCAGGGCTGGGAGAGGGAAAACCACCCACACCTCACTAAGGAGTGTCTCCTATGGGATAAGTGGCCTGCTAAGACTTCCCACACTGTTCTGTACTTAATCCTTTCAGTGAACATGAAGGCCCCCGTTTTAAAGTCATGTTTTATCCCCATCTCCCTGCTCTGCGTTGGGATTTGTTGCTCCTGACTCCAGGCAGGGAACTTTTTTCCTGGGAGAAGCAGCAGATCTGGACCCAATCCCTCTGTAAATTCTCTGCTGCCTCACACACATTACCCTCAGTTTTCCTAAATCTCATTTTAAAATATCCTGTGTTAAAAACGCCCTAAATTACATTTAAAAATGGGAACAATTCTCTCTCTCTCTCTCTCGCATGTTTTCACTACTTATGAATATTTTAAGGAACTCTACTATTCAAACACACACAGAGCACTTCAGAGAAAAAACCATTTGGGATGAATTTTTGATGGAAAAACAAAAGGGGCTGTCGTAAGCTCAGTGAAAATAAATCTGGTTTTAGTCATCTATTTGGGGCTGTTTTCCTCAAAATAAAAGTAAAAAGCCATTGCCTCCCACTGCACCCGCTGGGAATCATTTCAGTGAGAACAAGTACATGGAAATTAGGAGTTCTCTGGGCTGAGGGGACCCCAAACCCAGGAGGAAGGGCCAGGTACCCCCCCAGGAGGGTCTGGAGGGATGATTCCAGCCTGGAGAGCTGGGCTGGGACAGCAGAGCCCCATTTCTGCATCTCTGACCATCTGTGTCTTCAGGCAGAACGTTACAGAGTCATTTGTGCTCCTGAGTATCCCAAAATCATGGAATCATGGCAGGGGTTGGGTCAGAAGGGACCTTAAAGATCATCTCATTCCACTTCCACCCCCTGCCACGGGCAGGGACACCTCCCACTGTCCCAGGTTGTTCCAAACCTCATCCAAACTGGCCTTGGACACTTAAAAAGTACTGTCTAGACATCAGTCAAAATCAAATCAACCCAAAATACCGCACAGACACCAATGATCCCATTTAACTCCCACCACACTGGTTTTTTACACATCTTTGGGGTTTGGGACTGAAGGTACCGACAGCCACCAGTGACAATTTAACTCAAACTCCCATCCCAGCAGCTCCAAACCCCCAGCCCTGCCCCCGCAGCTCTTACTCAGCCCCACAAACACCTTTTCCCTGTTTAATCGTTCCCTTTGCGTCGCTCCCTGTCCTTCCATTCCCTTCCCAAAGTCCCACCTCCCTGTCCCAGCCTCCCCTCCCGTGTGACAGCGATCCCTTGCAGTACCCCAGAACGGCCTCTCGCCGCTCCCTCGCACCATTCCTGGCTTCCCTGCCTTCCAAATCCAAGCTGTTGCAGAGCATTTCCCCTGGAAGAGCACCCAGGAGCTCCGGGGAGGGCTCCAACCCACCCGGCTCCTCTCCGGATTTTCTCCCCCAGCTCTCCTCCCGCACAGGGGAGGTTGTTGCAAGACGTGCATGGAATAGATGAAGTGTATAAAACACTTCCCAGGGGCAGCCAGCCCTCCTCCACAGGGGAAGATCAGGGCTCTGTGCAAAGGAATAAGGAAAAAAATAAGAGTTGCACAGTGCAGCCAACACCTGGGATTTGGGCACAGCAGCTCCTGCTCTAGACCCTAAACCCTGTTGGGTTCCTTTCTGACAACCACACTCAGGGACCCAGATCACCCTCCAGACCCACACTCCCGTTTCAGGCAGATTTTTTTGCTGGATGGGGAATTTCGAGATCAATCCTGTTCATTTTCAGCAGGTCGGGGGGTTCGGAGTCACCCAGGTTTTGGTTCTCGGGGGGGGGTTCACAGCAAGGTTTTGACTCCAAGGAGCTCAGCTGCCTTTACCAGATATGCTACAAGTGGGGCTTAAACCCTTGAGAAAACCCTTCACTGGATATTCCAAAGAAAATCCAAAAATTTCCTAGAAAAAAAACCCAAAAAACTCTTCCTTTGCCACATCAAGCTGTTCTTTCAACGCCCTGGCAGTGCAGCCAATTCCTACCTGCTTTTCCCAGTCCTCTTATCAAGATGTTCAGGCACAGGAGATTTATTCTTATTCATAAAGTCACACCTGACTTTGTTGTTCCCTGGCTCTCTTCCACCCAGAAGGCCCCAGGTTCTCCCCACCACCTCTCCCTCCCCCAGCAAGGCCCCCAAACTGGGGTTCAGCCCCTCCAGGTGATGTCCAAGTCCATGTTCACACCCTCAAATCCTCCTGTTTCCTTAGCACACCTTTCCCAAACAACATTAACTCCCGAGGTGACACATCCAGAGACACCTGGAGACCCAAAACACCTGCCCAGGAATTCCCAGCGGGAATTGAAGGGAGTTAAAACCCACTCCTTTCCAAATCTCTCCCTCACATCCCTCAAGCTCCCAACTCTAGAAAAGAATAAAGAAGATTTCAAAAGGAACAAAAGCCTCCTCCACCCTTCGAATCGCGAGGACCCTCCCCGTTTAAAAATCCTAATTTTGAGCCTTTTATGTGCTCAAACCCTCTCTCCCTGGGCGTGTTTTTTTTTTAATTTTGCACACAGCTGTCTGTTGTACTTCCTCCAACGGTGCCAGATGCTGGGTTCATCAACCCAACGCAGGCAAACAATGCTCTGAAAGCAATTAGAAGCAGCGAGGCTGCACCGAGGCTCATATTAAAATGTGATAACACTGTTCTGGGGGGAATTGCAGAAGCTGCTGCAGTTCTGACATTTCTGTGCCGCCAGACACAGGCAGGATGGGCTGGAAGTGGGCCCTGATCGAGGAGGGAACACACTGGAATTTATTCCTGGAGCAAAGGAAGGATCAGCTGAGTTGGAACGCTCAGAAGGGGTTTTGTTGCCACGTTGTTTGAACAGGGATCTGTTTAAGGAAAATTTAAGGGAAAAGGGCGGTCCCACTGATCCCTGTGCCTTGGCTGCAGCCAGGGTGGACCCAACGCTCCAAAAATCGGGAATTAGAGCCGAGCTCCCCCCATGTGACACAGCCCAAGGAGCTCCGGGTCGGCTCCGGGCAAGCACAGATCCATCAATTGTCCCTGATAGGCAGGAGAAGCCACTGACAGGGCTGGTGACCCACAGGCACCCTGGAAAGTTTAAATCATCGCCCCCATTATTGAGGAAATGAAGATCAAAGTGGCCATCAGAGCCTCTCCCAGCTTGTTAACAGACATAACAAGGGATGGTCACAGGCCTGGAGAATTTACAGCCCGGCCATGTGTCCACACCTGGAGCCTGATTGAGTTTCAAGTTCAGGTTAAACACGAGCAATGAGACTGGAGGTCACCCAACAGCCTCTGCTCCCAAGCCCACGGTCCATGGGAATGCTCTGCCCTTCCCAAACTTTAAAGCTTTTCTGGAGACAGAAGTTCTGCAGAAAAAAGCTTCCCGGGGCTCGTCCAGGACAATAAATTCGTGCCAGAACCCCCACACACGTCGTGTTCTTTGCTCTCCAGGGTGAGGAGAAATGAGCTTCTGCTGCTCAGCACAGCCAGCCCAGCTCCTCCTGCAGCCCCTGCCACAGCCTCAGAACCGCCACGCTGCAGCTTTAAATTCATTTAAATTTCAGTTTAAAACCACACACATCCAACCCTCCCGCCCCTCGGGCTCATCCCCCTCCTTCCCCCATCGGACTCACCTCGGGGTGCAAAAGCCAAGTGGTACCTGAAAGACCAAAGAGAAAAAAAGAGCGGTTAAGACACGTTATTCTCTCAGAGACCTGTTCCAGCCTCATGAACAAGTGACAGAGGGGAGAATCCTGCCAGGAACCCACAGAGTGGGCGACACAGATTCCGGGCAGGAAGCTCCAGGAGGAATTGGGATGTCCCCTATCCCTGCCCAAGGTCAGCCTGGACGGGGCTTGGAGCAACCTGGGACAGTGGAAGGTGTCCCTGCCCATGGCAGGGGGTGGCACTGGAGGAGCTCTGAGGTCCCTCCCAACCCATTCCATGATTTTGTGGACTCCCATCCACTGGAAGGGGTCTCCTTCTCCAGACACGAAGGTTTACGTGACCTTTTGCTGCACAGCCTGAATTAAGGACTTCCAAAGGTCCCTTCCAACCCAAACTATTCCCTGTCCTCGTCTCACACCTCCCCTGCAGCAGCAGCACCACAGAGGGGGCAACACACGCCCTGCCCACGCCAAAAAAACCTCATTTCTTCCCCTCCCTCACACTTGGGGCTCATCTTGGGTTGAAATCAGAGTCATTTTAATTAAGGAAGGAGCGCTGGGGAGTTTTGGAAGCAGATCAAGGGCCGGGGATAAACCACAAAGTGACCCATTCACAGGCAAGATGTGTAACAAAGGCTTGGTCTATAGGCACTGGTGGCAAGAATCCAGTGTGTAAAAACCCAATCAATTTGTTTTCCTCATTAAAAAGCTTTCATGAAGAAAATGATTTAACACAAACATCCGAGCTACTGACGCAGATTAATTAGAAAACAACGGTGGAATCCTGATTAAGGGGCACAATATTTATTTGACTTGTTTGCTTTGGACGAAAAGAGAAAAATGAAAGGACGTGCAGAGGCAGAAGAAACTTTGCTGGGTGAGAAACAGCAGCTGTGTGATGGAGGGAAGAGCCACACCACCGTGCTTTGGGCTCCACGTTTCTCTGGCCCTTTGGATGCTCCTGGCAGTGGTTCCCAAATTCTACAAGCAGCTCTTTCCTCTCCCATCCCACATTTTCTCCCCCGAGCCCAGAGAGGCAACACCACCCACACCCGAGGTCAGGGTGTCACAACAGCAGCTCCACCTTTTGCTTTCCAATCGCCTTTACCTGTTACTCAACCTCTGCTTCGAGATTTCAATCATTTATTCAACATCTGAGCCGAGAAACCTCCACCCCGGGCTCTGCCAGAGCTCCCCAAACCCCCCAGCCCCGAGAGCTGAAATACTTTTGTCTCCTGAACAGACAAGGACGGCGGAAAAAAAAGAAAAAAAACGCTTCTTGCTCCGTGAACTTTTGTCTCTTGTGCTTGAGAGACTGTCCTAATCTCCCCTGCACATGTTTTAGTGATAACATTTACTGCACCAGGGCCAAAATGATTTTCTGTCACTTGTAATTCCAGTTCAATAAAAGTATAAGAGCTTTGTTTCTAACCTCTGTCATTTTTAATACAGTAAAATGGCTTAAAAAAAAAATGTAAAATTGAGTTCCATTTCCTACCGGACCAGCAAAGCCCATGTTAAGCTTTGCTCTGATCAAATTTAAGGCAAGGGGGGGGGAAATAACCAAAAACATGCTTGGCTTTGGCCTCTTTTTTTTTTTTTTTTTTAAGCATAAGGAAACAGTCCAAAATTCTGATCTCATCAGATCAGGATATGTCTTTAATCTCCAGCTTTGATCATTTGCACTCTGGAAAGGCTTAAGCAGAGAATGAAAGTTTAGTTTAAAATTTAATCGGGAGTGGGAGGAAAATGGTCTTGTTCTTACAGAAGATGGAAGAGTAATGACCCAATTCCTTCCTCTGCCACTGACTGCATGGAAACCTTGAATAAATTACTGACCTTAAGAGTGCACAAGGTACTGAAAATACCGTGGCATCACATCCAAGTCTTTTCACTCCACAGAATTTTTCTTTCCGCTCTGTGTTTCCCCCACCCCTTTCCTGCAGGGAACCTCAGCCTCGGCTAATCCCCGAGTTTTCTCCTCACCATTCTCACAGGTGGCCAAAATAGTCGTTTCTCTTTTTTTTTTTTTTCCTGCAAGAAACGCAACGATTTGGGCAAAACACCCGTTTTTTGCTTCAACCACCTCAGGGGTTTAATTCAAAACCAGCCGCATCCCCGGGTCCTGCGCGTGATAAAATCAGAATAAATCTCGTTTCTGTGCAGCAGAGGAGGAGGAACTCGCTCAGCAGCAGCAGGTTCTCCCCTCGGGCTGTTCTCCAAAGTGTGGAGCTTGAGGCCAATTAACGCTTTTGTTGCCAATTAACACAGCGCCGAGGAGCCCTGAGTTACTCAACGCGCCCATCTGTGGGTAACAGGCACTTACACAACGTTTCCTCCTCCAGCTCGGCAGGTTTGCCCTGAAAGCTGCAGCCCAGTAACATCTCCCAGCAAATAATTACAAATATCCTGTAATTGCTCCACACCCGTCCCCCCTTGAGCCAGCTGAACTCAGAAACCCAAGGCCTGCTCCTTCTTTAGTTTGGGATCAGCTTGACATTTTCATCCTTAATAAACAGTTTTTTAGGTCTCACAAACAGCAGCAAAAGCTCCTCCCTGGTTATATTAACGAGAAAGTTTGGGAACAGGGGATGGATTGGGTCATGGCTTGACTGTTTTTTTTTAAGCACATGATTAAAAAGGTTCCTGTGCCCCAGAAATAATCCCCCAAGAGGAAAATCTGTTCAAGGCCAGGCTTGGAACAACCTGGGAGAGTGCAAGGTGTCCCATGGGATGGAATTGGATGATCTCTGAGGTCCCTTCCAACCCAAACCATCCCGGGATTCCATGGAATCACAGCAAAGAGCTTCCAGCCCTACAACAGGAAGGTTCAACTCACACACCAGACCCTAAAACAGCAGAGGGGAAACGGGGAAAAGCTCCTGTCAAAGGATGAACAACCTGGAGCAGAACGAGCCCCTCGGGGATTTTTGGGGCTTTATGTGCAGGAGGAACTCGCCCAAAAATGTCTCATTTCCACTACAAAGCCCAAGGACTTGTGATGTGCTGCCAGGAGTGTAACAAGAGACATCCTACCAGCATTTCCCCCTCAACGGGGGAAATGTTCCCAACAAACCACCCCCCTCTCCCACCTCAGCCAGGTTTCAGAAGCCAGGGATTTGTTCTGCTCCAAAAACACTGACTGATTGTGGAGCCCGTGGGGATCCGCCCTCAGCAGGCAAACACAGGGACTCTCTCCTGGGAATGTTCGGGCTCCTTGCTCCTGAAAAACACACAGGCTCCAGTTCTAACCCAGACCCAACGAAACTGCAGCTGAGCTGGGCCAGCAGAGCTCCGAGGGGCAGCTCCCACGAGCAGGAGCAGAAGGAAACGCTGCTGAGGAGGGAGATGGAGGCACAGAGCAGGCAGGGCTGCCAGAAAACCTCCTTCCCCACAGGGACCCTCCACCCTCCAGCCTGGAAACACGACTAGTGATGTGCTGGAAGGAGCAGAACCTTCTGCTGCCTCCCAGGAGGGAAAGCTGTTTGAACCTGGCTCACAAACCTCATCTTTGCAGGGGTTTGGAACAGGAGCAACACCAGGATTGGCACCTGGGAGGCTGGAAAATCGAGTTCTCCAAATCCTCCCCCCTCCTTCCAGCTCTGCTGTGTGATGGATTCACCTCCAGGAACTGGCTGCTCATCCCGGGGACAGTGATGCTTCCAGGGCTGCCCAAGCAGAGGAAGTTACTTTAACGCTCCTCTCACATCACCAGCAGGGTTTAAACCAAGGAAACACAGAAATATCCCTTCCTGTTCCAAAAGGAAGGGCTGGCAGAGCCCTGGGATACACAGGGATGAAAACCCCCCCCGGGTCAGTATTTCCCCTGCCACACTGGGTCTAGATTTGCCCTCTGGTGCAAGGACAGGACTTGTGTCTTCTTGGAGCACCAAGATAATTTGGTTTTATTCCTGCATTTCCAACCTTTACACAACTCAAGCAGATCCACCCCAGGCCCCTCATCCTCTGCTGTTGTCACGGGAAGAGTCACAAATCCCACCAGTGCCCAGAAATCCAGGAAAACACACCATTAACACGCCCTCCTCCCAGCCACAGAAAGTTGCTGACCAGCAGCAGTAAATCAGGCATCAAACCTGCTCCATTTGGGGCCAGGAGCAAAAAAAAAAAAAAAAATCAGTGTCTGAAATCTCTGTGTTAAGCAGGGGGTCAAACTTGATGGGCATAATGGTCTCTCTGCAGCTCTGAAGTCTCTAAAAGTCTAAACCCCACTTTCCTCTCAGGCTCAATTGCAGCAGGAACCATAAAGTCAGGTTTCAATCAAATTTCCTGCATTTTCCTGTCCAATTAAGAACACTAATACCACCACAGATGTCATTAAATTAGATATTTTTTGAGACAGCCTAATTTGTTCGGTGCGCGGCGTTCGTCGGGTTTTAATGTTTGGGGAGGAAAAATAATAATAATAATAATAACAATAAAAAAATCAATGCTGTACAGGATTTCAGGCAGGGGAAAAAAAAAAATAAAACGAGATGAAAATGGGATTGGGGAGCTCAACCATTAGCAAAGCCAGTTAGAAACCACTTCAAATGCATTTCTCAGCTCAGTGTTACACGGGAGCAGCAGCAGCGAGGCAAAGACTCTGCTTACAGGGTTTCAATCATTTCCAGGGCTCGGGTTTCAGATTAACAAGGAAATGGAGGGGGGGGGGAAACGGGGGTAATTTTATCAGCTGGGCTGGAAAACGATGCAAATGATGGCAAAGAGCCTGAGCCAGGAGGCACCAAAGTGAATTAAAGGGGCAGAGGGAACGGCCACGCTCAGCACAGGTGGAGAAGAAAAGCAGGTGGGGTGGGTGGGATGGAGAGAGAGACAGAAATCCAGGTATAACAACTCCAGCATTGAAGAGCAGAGACACTGCTGCCCTCAAAGCAGAAAGGATCTTTCCTTCTTCCCTCCTGGACTTTTATTGGAGGGAAAAGAGATTTGATCCAATGTAAATATTGCTTTGCCATAGGAGAGATATAGTTAGAATTGTGTATATAGTGGCTTATAATAGTTATTTGTGTGATAATTGTAATGTAATTCCCTTTCCCCCATATTGAGTCTTGTGTCTGGAAAACCCCTCTCGCATTGGGGTGAGTTGTGGGAGGGGGGCTTGGACTTGGAAATTGGATTTTTGGGGGTCTCAAAGCACCGCAGTGGGATAAAGCTGAGTTGGATTTGTGGCCCTGCCACGCTGACACTGAGAATTCCTTCTTTAAAATAACAAGGAGGGAAGAAAATCCCACCCTGAGATTACTGGATAAATTGGGAACGTCCCCCCAGAAACTCGAAAAAGAAATCCCGTCAGCAGGGTCGGGATTAAATCCTGGAACCCCCAGGAATGTCCAGGAATTCCTGTGCTCCCAGGGCAGGGCAGGAGAGGCTTCACATCCCCATCAACACCCACTGGGATCCTCAAACCAACCCTCCCACCCCAACCAGCACCAACATCTCCCCCCACCGAGGGCAAAAACCAACCAAACAACCCGAGCAGCTCATTTTTAGGCTCAAAAATGCGAATTAACCCCCCGATTACCCGGCGCTGAAGCGACAGGGACTCGCCTTTCCCTTTTTTTTCCCCCTCCCCTTTCAGAATAAATCTGTATTTAATGGGAAGTGCCAACGAACTCCTGCTCAGCGAGATCGTTTCCTCGCCGAGCAAATAAATTCCAGCTCTGGGAAGAAGGCGGAGGAGGAGAAGCAGCACTTTGGCTAATTAAGGACAATGTGGTGGGGCCGTGGCCCGGCGTTAATGGGCGCAGCTCAATTATCTGCCCATCAGGTCACATCCTTAAATCCCTTTTTATCTTGGTATCGCACATTATTCAGCCTAATGAGTTTAATATCGGGAGGAATTACAGGCAGTACATTTGCCCCTAATGAAGCAAAATTACCCTGAAATCGCATTTTCTTTCCTTTCCATCTCGAAAACTTTCAAATCGGGCCGAAAATTGAAGCGATGAATGCAGCTAATACGGGCAGAAGTTTATCAAAACAGGCCTGTTTTCTCCCCAGAACCGACCATTTCTGCAGGTCAGACTGAAGGGGAGGATGGAAACGTCCCCAGGCCCCTCTGGATTCTGCTCAGCCTTGAAACAGTTCTCTTTTATTTCTCTTTTTTTGTTTTGCTCCCTAATAAGTCAGATCCTCTTCCACTTTCTTATATGGAAATCCTGGCCTGGCAAATTTTTTCCTAATAATCTCTTTGTCTTTATTTTTATATACATATTTTTCTCTATATTATATATATTTTTTGTATTGTATAATATATATTATAATAGCTATTATCATATACTTTATAGTCTTCATATATTATATATAAATGTTTATATAAACATTTGTTTATATAAACATTTATATAAACAATGTCAGATAATTCAAATTATATATTAATATATAATTACTAATAATTATTAGCATGTAGAATTATTCTATTCTACAATAGATTATAATATGTACATTTGAGTTTATTATATTTCAATATAATTTACAATGACATTAGAATGTATATAAATATACTGTATAATTTAGATATGTATATAAAATATATATGTATATATATGTACATTATATATTAGTATTATATATATAGATATAATATATATAATATATTATATTATATGGGAATTCTGGGAACAGCAGCAGAGCCCAAGGAACAACTCGAGACAAACCCTTGGCACTGACAGACAAACAGAAGCCCCTGACAACTTTTTGGGGGTTCTGGAAGACAAGCAAAACTCTTCCCCAGCACCACGTCCCCCCCTCGAGGCAAAGCTGCTTTTTAAGCTCTGCTGTGACAGGACAGTGACACAAATCCAGGGGCCCAGTCCTGTGACTCATCCCTGATCCACAGGCTCTTCCCCCCCGGAGAACAACCCCCAAAGCTCATTTTTACTGCCCTGTTGTCTGATGTTCCTTAAACTGATGGCAACATTCCCACTGCTAACGCTGTGCTCTCTGAACTCTGGGATGAAAATCCTCCCATGCTGGACACTTCCAGGTGATGTCCTGGCCTGCCAAGGGCAAGAAATGTGTATTAAAATAAATTCTTGGTGGTTTTTTTTTCTCCAGGAGGGTCGGGGGTGACTCCAATGTGACCAAGTGCTCGGGTTTTGTGTCTCCACGTGAGAGGAGCCCTATAAAGACCTGCCAGCCAAATTCCAGGAGCAGTTCCTGAGCCTGGCTCAGGATGAAGCTCTTCCCCCTTGCAGACACACGTGTCTCTCCTCAGCAGTCCAGCACTTTACTCATGTTCCATTATGAACCCGAAGAATGAAACCCTACCCACACCCCCCAGAGGGCTGCTGGGGGGAGGCAGGAGCTTCCTGAAGGCAGCAGAGGCTGATGATTTCCTGCACACCCACCACAAAAGCCACAGGAAGCTCCCCGAGGAGCCAAACCCGGCCCCCAGAGCGGGACCTGCTCACATCCTCTCCCATCAAACCATCCAGTCGTCGTTCCAGTAAATCTCCCACCACAAATCATGGCATTAATGGCTGGGGGCAGCACAGGGACTGTCTGTAGCCTCTGCTCTCTCCCCCCTTTCCAAGCAATAAAGCCGAGTCGGGAATCGGCAGCGCCCTGGAGGGTCTTGGCTCAAGGGTCTCACTTTCCCCTCCACGAGTACCTGCAATTTATTTCCATCAGCAGCAGGACTGAGGCCCCACAACTTAACCTGAGCATCCAGGAGGGATTTCACATCACTTCTCCTGGTGCAAAGGCTGCTGCACCACTCCCACTGCTTTTTTTTTTTCCCCCCAGGTGATTTGGTTCTAAAAAAGCTTCATCCCAAATTGTACCCTCGGGCTGAGGAAGGGCTAAGAGCCAAGGCTGAGTTCTGTGTCACAGCATCAGCCCCAGGACCCAAAAAGCTGCTCCTTTTTTGAGCAAATCAAAGCCAAACAACCTCTGGGAAGCCAGAAATCCATGGAACAACAGCCCCAGCAGCACCTTATCCCACTTCTCCAGCCCCATTCGCAGCTCTGACAGCACAGGAAGACAGAGACCACCTACCCCAGGAGGCAAGAACAACCCAGAGTTCCCAACTTTGCCAGCTGCCCCTCCCACATTTATCAAGTTTGGTGCTATTTGGGTTTAATTCCTTAAAACCAGACCCGGAGCTGCACTTCATGGAGACACAGATTTGCCCCTCGGGAAGCTGAGTGCCCTCAGGACACTGGGAAAAAAGGAAAAAAAAAATTCCCAAAATCTTCCCTGATGTCTGAATACTTCAGAATCCTGCTTATTTAACTTCTCCCATCCAGGATTCCTGCCTGTAGGAATTTTTCAGGGGAATCACACCAGCAAAGAGGCAACGGAGCCCTTTTCCTGCCCCGTCACAGGACACTGCTGCACCCACAGCCCCCCACTCTGCCATCAGGCAAGCTCCAGCCCCCTTTTCCAAAGGTTTCCATCTTCTGCATTCAGCTTGTTTCAATTATTCAGGGCAACCCAGGCTGATAATTACACAGTCCCGAGCTGCTGAGTAAAACTGATGCTTAATTAGCCAGCGGGAAAGATCGATTAAGATCCAGCGGGGTATCTTGCAAAAGTTCTTCAGTGGGACTGCAGGGAATAAAAGTCTGGCTGTGCCCTTCCAAAGGATAAAAATTCTCCTCTTCTCAGGGACTCGACAGCAGTTTTATTTAAACTGGATGCTCGGCTCAGGCAGCCACCCTGAGCTTTATTGTCAGGCCTCGGCACCGAGTGACACAACTCACAGCTCGTAACCAGAGCATCGACAGCGAGCTCTGCACCACATTGCCAGCCAAAAATATAACCCAGCTGAGGCTCAAAGTTTTATTTAAGCCTTGAGCAGCCTGATTTCTGGTTGGTGGTTTTTTTTTTTTTTTTTGTTCCTCAGTTTTTCCCCTCAGAACAATAGGGAAAAAAAAAAATTAAGTTGGCTTCCTTCGTTTCTCCAAATGATGCATCTCGTGTTCTTACTGTTCTTGGAACAGTCCTGAGGACACGAGGCTTTAAAATCCAGGTCTGACCTGGGTTCTAAGTCAATAAATCCCCTTCATTCCTTTTTTGCTGGATCAAAGTCCAGACAACACGTTTTGGAGCTCAGGAGCCCCTTGAGCAGCAAATCCACAGCACGAATCTCTGCTCACAGTTATTGATTTACCCACAGACTTAAGTGATGGATTTTCTCCACAAAAAACCCTCTCTGGAACAAGGGAGGAGGAGGAACAGGAGAGGATCAGAGACCCCACATGAAAAGAGCTGCACATTCACAGCCCAAGGCATCGTTTTTTCACTTTGAAACGCACAAATTCCCAACAAAACAACGACGATTTTCCAGACAACCACAAACTGGTTAACTGGGAGTGTAAAAACCAGTGGTCTTATTACACCAAGCCCTGAATGCCCATGGATTTTCAAAGCATGGGGCCAACTCTGCCAGCACAAGGTACCCCAGGATGTGCCACCATTCTTTGATTAGAGAGGAATTCAGAGAACACTGACCTGGCTTTGACTCTCTGGAAGCCCAGAAGAATCGCATCCCTCTGCTCCCTGGCTTCAGCACTCAAGTTCTCGTTCTGCAGCCCTTCTGCCAGGTACTCCTCAGCATCTGGGGAAGAAGGAATTACAGGTTAAAACTCAGAGATCCTTAAAACTCAGAGATCCCTGTTCCTGGCTAAGAAACCCGGAGCCCTCGAGGCACCAGCCCAGTCTGAGCTAAAGACACGGGTCAGTCAGTCTGAGGACTTGATTTGGAGAAGTGAAGCCCTGGAAGTGATTAAAGAGGATCTAAATATTGCCTGTGATGACAGAGCTTCTCTCTAATTGCAACAGTACAAGTCAAATAAACAACTGAAAAGAAACTTTTCACTTTGGCAAACTTTTCACTGCTGGCAAAAGCAGAAGAGAGGATGAGGAAGGTGAAGTGAAAACGTGACCAGACCAAGTTCAACTCCCCCTGCCTCTGTGCTGCCCCAAACCCTAAATATCTGCTGCTGTGAAAGGCTTTTGGCATTAAAGACACAGGAGTGGTTCTCCCATTCAGGGAGGATCCAAAGCATTCCTAAAACCAGTGCAAGGTATCCACTAACACTCCAAAATCACCCTGATCTGGGATTTTTCACCCTGAAAACCAGGTTGGTCGTGCACTTGTGTCACAAGGTGGGTCCTCCTGCAGGGTTGGTGCTGGACTCCCAACACCCTGTGCCTGCTCAGCCAAAAGCAGACACGACAGTTCTCCCACCTGGAAAAGCCACATCTGTGTGCAGAAATCCGACCTGAACTGCCAGACTAAAAGGATTAAGCGCCTTCTATTTGCGCAAATATTTATGTTCTTTAGGGGAAACCGAAAGAAAAACCAACAGGCTCAAGAAAAACCAACAAACTCGTGGAGAACAAAACAGTTCCACCCCCACCTGCTCCGTGCAGAGCCCCAGCCTCGTGCTTCACTTCTCCTTCAGCAAAGACTGGCTTCATTCAAAGCTCTGCTGTTGTACATCCACAGGCCCCTCCAACCTTTAGCTCCCACCCCACGCTGTGCCACTAATGTCACTTTAATATCCTGCTTGCAAAGACTTCCAGCTCCTTCTGCCTCGGCTGCCAGCCCGGTGCCAGCAGCGTTTAGCACACCCCGGGCACCCGCAGAGCTCCTCAGAAACAGCTCCTCCACCTGCAGGCACGTCTCAAGATCAGAATGCCACGGGAGAAATTAAAGGTTTTTTTTCTGTTAAAAACGCGACCCCCTCGTTTCTTTTTGCTGCCTGTTCGTGGTGCGCTCGAAGGGTTAGAGCAGGGGAGGGGGGGGAATAAAAAAAGAGGTTTTTGAAGCGAAGGTCACGAGGAAGGACGTGGAGGGGGAGCAAGGCTGGTGCTTGGGCATCCCCCAGGCACAGGGCCCTCTTCCTTGGCTTCAGAGGGGCAGGGGGACTCAGCTCTGCCCACAGCAGCCTGGGAAGAGGGAGTGACTCCAGAGTGTGACACTCTGTCTCCACAACAGCCCAGTTCTCCTTTTGGGGTTTATTCAGCTGAAAGCACCGTTTGCCATGGGAGCACCTGCTAAGTACCACATTCCTGCCAAATGCAGATTCCTGCAGGTCCTCACCAGCTCCTGCCTCTGTGTCCCTGCCTCTCCTCCTGCCAGGAGGGCTCCTGACCCCCGGGAACCAGGTCTGAGCCCATCAGCCACAGCCACCCCTTCCCAGGGGAGAAACAACCCCAGGAGATCAAAATATCCAAGCACAGCCATTCCAGGGTGGGGATGAGACTGTTCCCAAGGGCCTGGGGGGACAGGACAAGGGGCAGTGGCTTCAAACTGACAGAGAGGAGGTTTAGATTGGATATTAGGAAGACATTCCTTTCTGGAATGGTGGTGGAACAGGCTGCCCAGAGAAGCTGTGGCTGCCCCATGGAGGTGTCCAAGGCCAGCTTGGACAGGGCTTGGAGCAACCTGGGATAGTGGAACCATCCCCATGGCAGGGGAGGAGACTGGACAAGATTTAAGGTCCCTTCCAACCCAATCCATTCCATGATTCCCTGACCCAGAGCCCCAGCAGATGGACAGCAACCCTCGAGCACAGCATCACTCCCAACCCCACACCTACATCCAGCAGCAGTTTGGGAGCTCCAGGAGCACAGAGATTCCAGATTCCAGATTCCAAAAATGCCTGTTCATACAAATTCACTGCTGGTACTTTAACCCTGGGGTAAAACCCAGGCTTTGCCAATCCCAGGCCAATCTTCTAATCCTTAAACTCAAATTCATTTTCGGTCCCTCCCTCTGCACTTTTAATTGTACACCCAAGGTACTGGACCAGCTTAGGACAGGTTTAAAGATGCTGGGGCTTAAATCACAAATGCCACAGAAAGCACCCAAGCACATCTATCTAAGCCCAAAGAGCAGATCTTGCTCTGAGGAGCCTCCTCAGAACAGATGGGGCCGAGGGGACAATTTATTCTAAACAAGCATAAAAAAACAAGGCAGTGGAAATGGCCCAGCAAGAGAAGCTACAGGCAGAAAAAATACAGTGAGAGAAGAGGCGAGGAAAACAAACTGCTCCCAGAACTGCTGCAAATCCCAGTTACCACCCCCCGTGTCATTTTTAAGCTCAGATTAACTCCGGGAGCGCACGATTAGCCCCTAATACAGCATTTACTTACTGGGATGTCAGCCCAGATCAGCTGCTGGATAAGTTATAGGAGGAGCTGGGTGGCTCCTGCAGAGCAGGCAGAGCCCCCTTTCCCAGCCAGCCCCGATGTTTATAGCAGCAGGAAATGAAAAAGAAAAGCCCTGGCCATAAACTCTCCAAGTGGCTCAGGAAGAGCAGTGTGTGAGCAGCTCGAGAGTAAATCACCCTAATGTTGGTTTTACTGCTTGTCAGTAACGTTATAGCCTTGATGTTTATGGATGGCTCTCCCAGATCCTCTCGGAAAGTTTACAGGACTCTCCTCCTCCTTTCCTGAGGCTAAAAAAGGTAAAGAGAGAGAGGGGAAAAAAAAAAATAGTGGAGATTTCATCAAGTGTTTCAGGGGAGCTTCTAGAGGTGACTGCAGTTCTGCACTTTAATCCTGCAGGAGATGCCCAGCATCCTGAGAATTATGTCACAACCACTGAAGTCCAGGTGGCAAATAACCTTTTAATGGCAGCACTAAATTCTGGGAGTTAATCAGCACTCAGTGAGCAGAGCTGAGGGGGATTAGGGTTCCCTGGGTATTCTCTCCACGTTCAGTTGTTTTTTTCACTCTTTTCTACTCCTCTGCCATCAGAAATCCTGCACCCCTCGTGCAGTGGAACCAATCCCACAGGATCAGAGAATGCTGAGCCAACCAGCCTGTTCCAACACTTCACACAATCCCCCTCCTGCAGTTTATCACCCCAGCTGGGTGGGAAAAATGAGTTTAAAGAAGGGTTTAGGACACCCATCAACACTGAGAGCACAGATACCCTGAGCTTCCCTGGGACTGCACTGATATTTCCAGGATGTGTCCCAGAACAGGCAGGGATTTGGGAAGGTTGGTTGGATCATCTCATCCCACCTGCCTAAATAAATCTGTGAACTATTTATTGCACAAGGTGTTCCTTGAGCTCTTCTGGAAGCTCAAGGAAAGGATGTTTTAATTGTGAAACAATATTTTACAGGTGGGCCTTCCAGCTTTTGGGGGGCTGAGGGAGAGGAAACCTTGGGAACAGAAGGAACCTCCATCCATCCCCCTGCACTGGACTCAGTGGGACAATTCCCTGTGCAAGGAACAAGAGGGGGGAACCTTCCCAAAATTTCAGCTTCCAAGTCTCAACCTCAAGTTCCCTCATATTGAAATTTTGGAGCTGCTCACTGTGCTGCTGACTGGGGCTCACCAGCCCTCACCAAACAGCATTTCAGTGTTTATTTTTCCAACAGCTCTGCCCTCAGCCACCCCCAAGCTTTGCTTGGTGCTCCTGGTGCCCAAACTCCACCAGGAAAAGCAGCTTTTCCAGCCCCACCACCCGAAACCAAGAGGCTCAAGGAGGCAGGTGAAGGGCAGGTAACCTGATTGACTTTGCTCCTCCAAACAGAACCAGCAGCACTGTGTTTGTCAGAGATATATCACATTTTCAGAGCTGCTCTGTCAGCCTTCGGGAGGAATCTGTGCCAGCAAATATGAAACACTCTTTAAAAAATAAAAAAAAAGGGCAGTTTGAAGAGAGACCTGACTGAGCCAATCTGTATATATATAAATATATATATATAATCCATATATATTATATATAATCTGTATATATATAAATATATATAACCTGTATATATAAAAATATATATATAACCTGTATATATAAATATACATATATAACATGTATATATAAAAATATATATAATCTGTATATATAGATAAATAAGTATAATCTGTATATATATAAATAAATATAATCTGTATATATACAAATATATATATAATCTGTATATATACAAATATATACATAATCTGTATATATAAATATATATCTATCTAATCTGTATATATATAAATATATACTTTTAAAATATATATATACCTATATCATAGAATAATTTGGGCTGGAAAGGACCTTAAAACTCATCCAGTGCCACCCCTTGCCTTGGGCGGGGCCCCTTTCCCTTTTCCCGGTTTGTTCCAGGCCCTTTCCACCTTGGCTTTGGCCCTTTCCGGGGTTCCGGGGCAGCCACAGCTTCTCTGGGCAACCTGTGCCAGGGCCTCTCCACGCTCCCAGGGAAGGATTTCTTCCCAAAATCCAATCTGCTCTGGCAGTTTGAAGCCATTCCCCCTTGTCCTGTCACTCCAAACTCCTGTAAATGGTCTCTCTCAAGCTCCTTGTTGGCTCCCTTCATGTACTGGAAGGCCACAATTAGGTCACCCCAAAACCTCCTCTTCTCCAGGCTGAGAATATATAATATATATAAAATTATAAAACAATAAATAAAATATAAATATATATAAAAATCTATATAAAATCCACCATTCCCAGCCTGCAGAGCTGGAAGCCTCCTCAGCCACTGGAAGGCCTCAAGCCCATACAGATTGTTAAAACACAGCAAGTTTGATGCAGAGGTATGTGACATGCAATTAATCTCCATTCATAGCCTGCTCCACCTGTCAGCAAACAAAGGCTGAGCTTTAGGAGGAGATCTGAAGCCTTCAATTAAAAGCAGTCAGCTAACAAGAAAATAATCTAAGTTAAAGGAAGGTGGCAGGTGCAGAAATGAGTTGTTTACAGAAGTGTCAGCCCCGAACAATAAAGGGCTGCACGTCAAAAAATGTGAAAGGGTGAACTTCAGCAGAGCCCCTGGGATTGAAAACCAGAGGAGAGAAAACCTCCACCTCCATCTGAGGGAAGACACAAAGTGTTTGGGAGCAAGATCTGATGGGCTTGGGGGCTCCACAGGGAGGGACAGACACCAGCTGGAAGTTATCAGAGAATCAGAGAATCAGCTGGGTTGGAAGGGACCTCTGAGATCATCCAGTCCAACCCTTGATCCAACCCCGCCGTGGTTCCCAGCCCATGGCACTGATGCCACATCCAGTCTGATCTTAAACACCTCCAGGGATGGAGAATCCCCCACTTCCCTGGGCAGCCCATTCCAATGGCTGAGCACCCTCTCTGTGAAGGAATTCTTTCTAATCTCCAACCTAACCCTCCCCTGGCACAGTTTGAGACCGGGGCTGAAGCTCTCCAGAAGACACATCCCCACGAGCTGCACGTTCCCAACGGGACTCAACACCGGCACATCTCAAACCAGGAGCCAGCAGTGCCCCAGCCCCAGGGGAAGCTGCAGGGGGGGCTCAGTGCAGCCCACGAGCTGCTCCCACCCTTTGTCTCGCCCTAACGGTGCTCAGAGGTGGAGCCTCCTCACCTTCCCAGGAAGCTCTCACGGAGGACATATTTTGGCCACGCCAGAAGAAACCTCTCAGTCTTCCACACACTCGGACTCTGGGACCACCAGAAAACTCCCCCACCCCAAACACACACATGGACCCTCGGGGCAGCCCCTGAAAAACAGGAGCAGCTCCTGAAAAACAGGAGCACAGCCCCAAACCCGCCAGGGCAGGCAGGGCAGCCACGTGTCCTGAACGCTCCTTAGGGGCTGAGGCAGCGAGGCCACACACAACCCGAGGACCCCAAACCACCAGCCTTGCAGAGGAAACCCCCCCAGTCCTCCCACTGCTCCCCCCGACCCAGCCCAGCGAGGTGCAAAAAGCTTTTCGGCTCCTTCCCCCGCAGCCCCGGCGGGTTCCCCGCACTGAGCAGACGAGGGGCCAGGGGGGATTTGCCGTTACCTTCCAGGAGCCTCTGAATCTCCTCTGGGATCATGACACCTCCCAGCCTCCTTCCCACGGGAGCCAAACGTGCCGCGACCGCTCCTGTCCCGGGGGGGAGGGCAGGGACAGAGCGACAAAGGAAGCACAGAGGGCGGGGACACCCCAAAAAAGAGTAGGAGGAACCGCTGGGCTCTGCCCGGCTACCACCTCCTCCTCTTATAACCTCGGCGGGACCTCCTTTCGGGCAGGTGGTCGCCCAGGTGGTCGCCCAGGTGGTGTCCGGGCGGAACTCAGAGCTGCAGCCGAGGAGCTGCCGAGGTGCCCGATCCCTGCCCAGCAACGGCACAGCTGAACCTGCCCCCTCATCAGCCCCTCCATGGGGGCATCTCCCTCCAGGAGCTCAACTCAGAGCACCTGGCCCTGGATCGACCCTCCCGTGCCCGGTTGGATTCCTTCCAGGCTCCCTCCTCTAATTCTAATGCACGGGGGAAGAACGTGGTGCTTTGGCTGCTCTGCAGTAAAACTTCCCCTCTTCCTGCGTCCTGCACAGGGAGGGGGCTGGACTGGAAGAGCTGTTCAGGTTTCTGGCCCGGAGAAAGACCAGGGCTGTGCACTGGGACGTGTTTTATGGCAGCAATAAATGCAAACTGAGCTCTACAAGCCAGCAATGCCACTGCAGCAGGTTAACCCCCAGCCCTGCCTCTGCTCCTCTCCCACAGCTGTGAATCAGCACAAGCTAATAGAAGGGGTACCAATGTAATTTTTTTTATTTTTCATTCTCGCATTCCCAAATTTCAGGCTCTATGTTGCCAAATCCAAAGGCAGCCTTTGCTGTGTGAAGTTCATCAGTGATTTCCTGCCCCAGTTTAACATTTCCCACAGGTGAAGTGCTCAGGATTCCGTCCTTCCTTTGCAATATCCTGGTATCAAACAAATATTTATTATTATTATTATTATTGCTCTCCTCCCGCCACAGCAACGATCACAAGCTGGGAAAACAAAATCCAGAGGGTAAAGGAAAATAAAAGTGTGCACTGGGATCTGCCCCTTGGCTTCAGTGGGATAATGCCATGCTCGGAGGAGGAGCATCATTCCAAACAGTTGGAGGATCGGATTCTTGCAGCTCTCTGGATGCAGCACCTGGATGCAGCAGGTCTGGGATAAAGGAAACACGGGAGAGATTCCAAGGGACAGATTCCAGATTTGCCCAGAGCTGCTCGCTCGGTTCAGCCAAAGCAATCTGGTGGTTCAGGCTCATCTCACACCTGGGAGAGAAGAGCTGTGCTGGCAAAGCCTCGGGTGTGGAGGAGATGGGAGTGCACGAGAGGAGATTGGAGCTGGGCTTTGATCATCCTCGTGGGTCCCTTCCAACTCGGGATGTTCCATGATTTTAGGAGGGAGATGCTCCTCCGTGTGCTGTCAGGTGCCGATGTGCTCTGTGACCCACTTCCTGAGACAAGTGGGTGAAACAAGGCAAAGACTGTTGTGCTTTCAGTTACCAGTACAAATCAGATTAAAAACAGGTACAAGACGGAGCCCAGGCCTTTGTGGGTTTGGCTTTGGGGCCATGCCAGCAACTCTGGTGTTCTGGAGCAGAAGCAGAAACCCCCCGGAGCAGCTGCCAAGTTCTTTTGGGACTTTTTTTTGGTCGAAATGTGCCTTTTTATGCACGGGCACAGCACCTCACTGCCTGCCATACAAATAACACTTGTCAAGAGGGATGATTTTAATGGAGAAGTGAAGGCACCGTGACCGTGAGCAGCTGATTTACCGAAGGCTCTGCTCTGCTTTCTGTGGGTTCTCGTGTCTCCAGTCCCTCTGTGACAACACTGGAGTGGCAGCTGCCACTTGGGGTTCAGTCAGGGAGAAGAGGAGACACTGTGTTTCTTCTCAGTGGCTCTCCAGATCTGGGAGAAGAAGCCCAGCACTCCTGATCTGCAGCTCAGCAGTGATTTCCTGCCCCAGTTTGACATTTCCCACAGGTGAAGTGCTCAGGATTCCATCCTTCCTTTGCAATATCCTGGTATCAAAACAAATATTTATTATTATTGCTCTCCTCCTGCCACAGTATCGATCACAAGCTGGGAAAACAAAATCCAGAGGGTAAAGGAAAATAAAAGTGTGCACCGGGATCTGCAGATCTGGAGGCAGAGCTCACGTCTGACGTCACCCACCCAAACTTCCAGGTTTCCTACTCGGAGTAAATCCAGTTTCTGGCCTTCCCCCTTCACTCCCCTACAGTGACATCACCTCTGCAGCATAACCTGGATTTTGGGATAAGAAATTGTGCATCTACACTGACATCACCTCTGCAGCTTAACCTGGATTTTAGGGCAAGAAATTGTGCACCTACCCTGACATCACCTCTGCAGCATAACCTGGATTTTAGGACGAGAAATTGTGCACCTACCCTGACATCACCTCTGCAGCATAACCTGGATTTTAGGACTAGAAATTGTGCACCTACCCTGACATCACCTCTGCAGCATAACCTGGATTTTGGGGCAATAAATTGTGCACCTACCCTGACATCCTGCAGCGGATGCAGAGCCCTCAAAGCACAGGAAATGCAGCTGCACTTCGGAGGGGGGGGCCTTGCATGGGAAATGGCCTCGCTAGAAAGTACAAACACCTCAGTACCTGCCCCCTTACACCTCCCAGTCAGGTGGGGTTTCGTGAGTCAGGATTTAGAAAATGAGGAGGAAAACGTGGGGCTGTGTCAGCTGCCTGAGGCTCTGGACACGTCTGAGTGGCTCTGGCTGTGTGCAGGAAGCAGTGGCGTGTGTGGGTGGATGTTTATGATGGATCTGTGCTCGTGTTCTCACCTTGAGCTGTTTAGGGATAAATATTTAAACACGACTGTGTACAAACCCCAGTCAGTTCATTACACACTGCAAATAAAAGCAGCTGCTTGCTGAGACTGACTAAGTCTAAAAACGAGTTTATAAAGGAATGAACTGGGTCCCTTAGATGGCAGAAACTGCCTTCAGATATGCCAGGGAGATCGATAAAAGCGGATCAATGCAAATCTCGGAGGAAGGAACGTTCCTGAGGCTGCAGAGGAACGACTCGTCTGCCCCCACCCCCTTCAGCTCCCACACCAACCCGGGAGCACAGCCCTGGAAAAAAGGCACCAGAAGATACCTGGTCAGTGAGACTTCCCGAGAGTTAAACTGCTTTAGCATATTTGGGGGCTGGGGGGAATTTTTCCCCGTGTCAGGGCAGCAGTGACCAGGTTTGGAGGGGTGGCTTTGCCTTCCTTTGCAGCTTGAGAGAGCAGTGGGGACTTCACACCAGAAGCTTCCTGCTGTCGCAGTTTGTGGCACCACTAAAGCTCCAGATCTTTCCTGCTCGACCCCTGGGATGTGTTGCAGCCTGGTTTTGGGGCTTTCACTGCAGAAAGCATTGGGAGCAGCATCCCAAGGGGAGGCTGGCACTGCTGCACCCTGGGCCATGCATCCATCCCACGGCCCTGGCAGCCACAAACGGGGCCCAGCACCTGCAATCCTGCCCTCAAGCCCTACAGGGACAGGTTTTAAGGCCAGGCTGACCACACAGCAGCTGTTGTCATTATTAAATCCGTTTTACTGAGGGATGCTGAGACATGGAGCCATGGAGACAACAGTGCTGTTCCCCAAAATCTTTGCACCAGGCCAAACCTCCCCCTCAACCTTCTGCACTGCAGATAAAAAGCAGGCAAACTGATTCCCAGACAAGTGACCTTTATTTTATTATTTCTTTCCTTTTTTCTCACCACTGTCGTTTTTGAAGGTGTGAACAGGTCACAGATTTAGATTTGTGGTCAGCTGGGAAGGAGCTGGGGCAGTCTGGCAGTGACTGGCACCTTCCACAAACCACATGGTTCTTATGTAGCATCAGCCTTTATGGGCTCTGGACGTGAAGCTGCCTCCCCACACGATAAAAGCCCCACCTTAATCATTCCAGGTCCCAAGTTCAGCAGACAGGCTCTCTCCTAATGATATTCTGTTAAATGGACAAATTTCTTTGAAGGCTTGTCTCGCTTTGAAATCCAATTTCCCAGGCAGGCAGAGGCGATTGGGTGTAGCTATGGAAACAAAGCCGGGCAGCCTGCGAGGAGCTGAGCGCTGCGAGGTGAGGATGTGAGAGGCAGAGCCCTTCGCTGCGCTGTCGGAAATATCAAAGGATCTGGAGAGGTTGGCAGGAGACGTGTCCCTGTTACGGGCTGTTCTGTGTGGCTGGGTACCGGCGCCTGTCAGGGAAGGGAGAGCAGCCGGCTGGGCTGTCACAGCCTGCAGTGGAGCTGGATGCACAAATCGCGGGGGGGAAAGAACCTCCGGTTCTCATCTGCCCCCTCCCGCAGCTGGATCTCAGCCTGGAGTGGAGCTGGATGCACAAATCCGGGGGGTGCAGAACCTGCAGTTCCCTTCTGCCCCCTCCCAGTTCCCATCTGCCCCCTCCCAGTTCCCTTCTGCCCCCTCCCAGTTCCCATCTGCCCCCTCACATCCTCAGCCCGGAGTGGAGCTGAGTCCACAAATCCAGGGGGTGCAGAACCTCCAGTTTCCTTCTCCCCCTCCCACATCCAGATCTCAGCCTGGAGTGGAGCTGGACCCACAAATCCGGGGGGTTCAGACTCCCCCAGTTCCCCTCTGCCCCCTCCCAGTTCCTCCAGCACATCAGGCTCTCAGTGTGGAGTGGAGCCCCCAGTTCCCATCCGCACCCTTCCTCGTCAGGATCTCGGCCTGGAGTGGAGCTGAATCCACAAATCCGGGGGGTGCAGAACCTCCAGTTCCATTCTGCCCCCTCCCAAACCCAGATCTCAGTCTGGAGTGGAGCTGAATCCACCAATCTGGGGGGTGCAGAACCTGCAGTTCTCATCTGCCCCCTCCCAAACCCGGATCTCAGCCTGGAGTGGAGCTGGATGCACAAATTCAGGGGGTGCAGAACCTCCAGTTCCCTTCTGCCCCCTCCCAGTTCCCTTCTCCCCCTCCCACATCCGGATCTGAGCCTGGAGTGGAACTGGATGCACAGACCAGGGGGTTCAGACTTCCCCAGTTCCCTTCTCCCCCTCCCAGTTCCTCCAGCACATCCTCAGCCTGGAGTGGAGCTGAATCCACAGATCGGGGGGTTCAGACTCCCCCAGTTCCC